CCTGCACACTCCCTACTGGGGATGTGCCCGCAACCAAGGTACATGCCCTTGACTGGAATCGAACCTGTGACCTTTCAGTCCACAGGCCAACGCTCTATCCACTGAGCCAAACCAGCTAGGGCAAACGCACAGATTCTTGCTTGACCTCCTCATTAAGAGTTCCCCCCACTTTCTAGCTTTAACAGAAACCATTCCCTTTCCTAAGGACACTGCTTGCACAGCGAACTTCTCAAGTGCTATTCTGTCGCACCATAGTACACAATTTGGGGTGGGTGTCTGGTGCCCTATTGCCACTTAGAAACCATTATTTCAAAAATATGTTAAAAACATTACTTTTTAAGAATGACAGGCTCCAAGCATTTTAGTATTCAAAGAGTCTTTTAAGGTCGTTAATATCGTAGAAAATAGTGCAGACTTTTTCAAGGGCAGGGATGGCATATTACTCATCTTGCGCCTCCAGAAATTAGAACGTGGCCTGGTTATAGTAAATCCTTTATAAACGATTTATTAACTAGAATGTCCCCCACACCCCACACACATAGGACATTTCTGTCTGGTTTGGTAATATGTTCAGTGACAGATAATATGCCAAAGGATCGAAAACCGTAGAAACATATACTGAGTCTAATACGCAATTGAATAGGTGAAAAAGTACAATCCAGACAATGGAAGACCAGATATCAAAAAACAAAACAAAGAACCCCAAGAAACCTCCCAATAAAAAACACCTAGAAATGCTGGCTGAAAGAGCAACACGCGTTCAAACTTGTAAGGAAGCCTGTAAGACATACTACAAACCAAAATAGAAACTTAGCTATCAGAAGCAAAGAGAAGGTTAGAAACCAAAGGGTAAACTGACACCAACAGTGCATCTGCCCTGGAGGCATTTGCCCTGTTCATGGCCAGAGGAGAACCCAAGACAAAGCCGTGCGTCCTTAGAAAATGGGCAGAGAAACCCATTGGCCACTGCTTTTATGTTCAAGGCATTTGACAAGTATGATGATTGTTACTGAGAAATACAGAACTTTTTGGTGGACTCTCAAGGCCGAAGACAGCAAAACTGCAAAACAGCAAAGGAGAAGAGGCCATGAAGAGCACCCCAGGCTTTCAGTTGGGACCTGCCCCCCCAAAAGGAAGAAAAACCAGAACTCGCTCACCCATCAAAAGGCATGGAAGCTAGTTCCGAACCAGCTCTAACCCTCAGGGGGTGAAAGTCATCTGGATGCGCCTGTTCAGTGTGTGTCAGAAGTAAAGCAAACCCTCCCTTGAGGACAGTAAGGTCACCAAGAGCCTCAAATCACCCCTACAAACTTGTACCACCAGCGCGTTCACAAATAAAGCAGAAATAACAAGGCATTTCAAAAGATGACCAAACACCGCGGAGAATAAAGACACATGACACTTGAAAAAAACATGGCAGGAAATCCAAATATGGACTTGAAAATTACTACGATTCATTTAATGTAAGCAATTAAAAGAGAAAAAATATCAACACGGACCGAGTATCGCCAAAAGGAAAAAAATAAATTCTAAAAATAAAAGGTTTAATGACTGAAATGTAGAAAATTGAGAGTTAAGAAATGGGTAGGATGACAAATTATAAATAGCTGAGGATTGTTGAACTAGGAGTAAGACTCAAAGAAAATATCTATACTGAAACAAAGAGAGAAAAAAGATGTATGAAAAAACAGAGTAAGGCATATGAGACATGGGGAATGTGGCTGAAATGTCAAAAATATGTGGCCTGGGAAGTGTGGCTCAGTGGTTGAGCATCGACCTAGAAATCAGGAGGTTATGGGTTCAATTCCCAGTTAGGGCACATGGCCAGGTTGCAGGTTCGATCCCCAGTAGGGGGCGTGCAGGAGGCGGCCGATCAATGATTCTCTCTCATCATTGATGTTTCTATCTCTCTT